GGAGCTGAGAGATAGCGAGGTACTTTGAAAATTGGATCTACTTTGCACTAAATAATGGGGACGTAGTCTCGTATCAGACGACAGATAGGCATTGTCATTCTTTGGATACAATCCTCTGGCCCTTACGTTAGAAAAGATAACTCCCAGAGTCGGCAATGTGGGATATGCCCCCTGGGGGGGGGGGCAACAGACCCCTTCGGCAGGGGTGATGAGGGCGTCTGGAAAATAATAGTTTATTTTTAGAATTCATGGTTTGCACGGATTGATAAGGTGGTTGATGTGAAGCATTGCTTGTTTGTTTACTGAGGGTAGGCCTTTTGTCTAATTAGACCATTTTAGAGCTGGAAGCATTATTGGAATTACGGAAAACATTGGTTTGAGCGGGCATGGTGAATCGTCGAGGCTGAGCCCATCCATCCAGGCACCCATGAACCAGCCCCCCCCCCCCCCTTCCCAAGCACTTTCTGTATCCGGCTACAGACCTGTGCTCCTATGTGAGCTGCTCGAATGCGATATAGTTGCCCGTCCAGCTCGAAACAGGGGTTGAGGCATGAACGAGAAGGATTCTACTATCCTGAAGATGGGAAGGACGGATTGACGGATCACTTGGAAACTGTGAACTGCGTCGAATCACCAGTCTGCCCTGGCATTGTCTCGAGAAAGAGGTTACAAGTGTGAAGGTCGCTGAGAGTGGGACAATGAAAATTTTGGATTAGGTGTAAAAGTGATAAATGGGTCCTGGGAGACACTTCAAACCGAGTTGTTATGACGCGCTACGCCTTACGCGGGTAATTCGTGAAAGCCGGATAGGTTCATTTTTTGCTAAGAGTGGGCACGACTACCCTGCATTTGAATTTGTCTTTACTCCTAGGAGGGTGGTTAACAATGGTATTGCGGATAGGCGCTTAGGCGAGGCACTGGTTTACTCCCAATCCTCGGTTAAATTGTTTTCAGTTTGGGGTCCTCATATGAGAGGGTAATGGGCTAATAGCTCTGTCTAACTTCCAAAAAGAAAGCACCGCGCAGGGTACGTGCCGACCACTAGGTACTTTAAATGGACAACTGTTGTTGATAATGACCGTTTGTTGCCATCTACCCGTTCGCGAACCCTTAAGTTATGCTCCCTCATTGAGGCTCTTAAACGGGTAATAAAGCATGAGGGATGTCGGTTCCGCATTCTCAAGCAATATTTTTCAACAGTTGGTGAAATATATGTTAAAACAAACTAGCATATACGGCGGTTTAGTGTACTTTATGTCCGTCTGATGTGCCCGTCGTTGCGTTTTCGCAACGCTGATGGCGCCCGGTGTGCCCTTCGTTGCGATTTCGCAACGCACGTTTTTTACGTTTTTCTCGAAAAACTTTTGCTGCCGGCAAAAATTATTTTCGATTCCATGCAAGGCCCTGGTAGAAGCGTAATATATCTTGATTTCATCGATTTTCATGATGGTCAATATTCCTGGGCATAAATGGGTTAACATTGCCCACCTCCTTCTCAACTGCCCACACTACGACCAATACCGTCAACCCATCATTCACTACACAGACACACACAACCTCAGCCTGGACCTCCCAACTCTCCTGGGTGATGATCATCCAGATCTAATTGAACTTCTCTTTACCTTCCTCAGTGATTCGAATCTCATTAATAGCATATGATCGCAACCCTGCACACAGTATTTAGATGTTCTCATGATCAGGGTTGTATACCAATCAAGTCGATTGAATTGATTGATTTGATTCAACGCGTATTTTGAGTTGATTGGATTGAGTCGATTGACTTTTCAAGATGACTGGTTGACTGACTCGTTTGACTTTAGCGACTGGTTGACTGATTTGATTCCCGAAAATTAGAGTGACTCGTATGATTGAGTCGATTGAATGGAAAGTTCAAATAAGTTTTAGTTACGAAAAATAATGACACCAATTGATGACATCAAAGATCACAAAACTACACTGAAAACTGCTTGTCATCACAAGTGCAATATGGGGTAGATGGCCAAATAAAGAACAGGGCCTAAACATGAACAGCCAACTTTGACTTTCAACTGCAATAACTGCTCCAATCCTGGTGACAGAACCTGGTGATGCACCTACCTACCTTTCTGCACTCAGCAGGAAACGTTTTTTTTAATCCAGATGATAAAGTGCAAGGCCCTATATACTAATAAAGTGTGATTAATTAATAATTCACATCTCCACATCTCCTCAGAAACAACCCACTGAACTCTATAAATATCTGAAACCCCTACAAAAATAACTGAAACAAAAGCGCCGTTTTCGTCTCGCTAATTACGTTTACTAATTTGCTGCATTGTTTAATTTGCAGCAGAACGTTTGTTGATCCTTTTCTCCTGAGAGCCTAAGCATAACATATTTAATACATTTCATTTTCCTTAAAATATTTTACCGAATATTATTAAGTGGTTCAATTTCAAATGAAATAATAATTAAAACGAAATTGGTGTTGTACAACCGATTTATTTTATGATGATCTACCATACTACATGATAATCAATGACGTCATCTTACCAAAAAATCAAAAGACGTAGAATAAGGATTTATAAAAGCTTAGCATACTTATTGGCGAAACGTTTTCTTTGTATTTTTTTCGCAGTCGCACCGTGCCGTTTTCGCGTTTTAATTTTCTTTTTTCTTCTTCCTTTGTCCTTAACTTATCCTGTGGTTCCAGAGTCCCTGTCCTCTCCATTTCCTTTTAAATATATTTTTGATGCTCATCCCTATCCCCCAGTCCTAACAGTTTCAAATTGTATTGCAATAAAATGTTTTGAATTCTTCACACATAACCTATCTACCTTCGTTGGTACTGTTGGTAGCCGGTGACACATCTAGGGGGTAAGTAGGTACCTACCTGCTTTCCGGCTGTCTTCATAAAGCATACCTAATGAAGTCAAATTTGTAGCACATTGACATTTTCAACACCTTCATATGGTGTCAGTGTGGCGTGAAACCTAGCTAGGTTCATTATGTTCAGGGTTCAATTCAGAGGAGCTCCGCATAACTCACATAAGAGGCAGACAGGGGCTTTACATGGGGTAGATGGCCTGATGACTTAGCTGGAATATGGCCAAAATTAAATTGACAACTTTTAGGTGAAAGGTGGTCATTTGGGTTAAGGGGCGTTCAGTTTGTTGAAGTCAACTTAAACTACTGGGTTATTTTGCACCCATTAAATGAAACTTCTGCTCCAGCCTCCAATTCTACCCATTGAACCTCAATATCATGATCCACCTGTCCATCACTAGGTATCCTTCCTTATTACATAGAAACTTTGAATGGCATGGCAATTTATAATTTTAAATGGCAATATTTTTATGTTTCTTCTGTAGGTAGGTAGGCAGGTAGGTAGGTACACCAGACTGCTATGGACACTTTTCCAAGTTGGTGGGGCAAAAACCTAATGTATGTCTTGGTTTGAGTCGTTTGATTGAGTTGATTGATTCCTTTCATTGTCGCGTTTGAGTCGATTGAATCAATTCCCGAAAACTGCTCTGACTTGATTGATTTGATTGGTTTCCCAAATTTGTCGTGATTGAATTGATTGCTATTGATTGAATCGTATACAACCCTGCTCATGATCTTCCATCGTTGTCTCCATCCGCTTCGTTTTGCTTCCATTCGTTTTGCTTCCATTCGCTTCCATTCGCTTTCGTTCTCCTTTGTCTACACACGGGTCGCCTTTTCCAAATGTATATATATATATATATATATATATATATATATATATATATATATATATATATTATATATATATATATATATATATATATATATATATATATATATATATATATATATATATATATATATATATATATATATATATATATATATATTATATATATATATATATATATATATATATATATATATATATATATATATATATATATATATATATATATATATATATATATATATATATATATATATTATATATATATATATATATATATATATATATATATATATATATATATATAAAGTAAGTATAAAGTATAAAGTATAAAGTAAAGTATATATATATATAAAGTTGAACCCCTAAGACGGGCGGGACATGGCTGGCGGCACCCGGTTAACACCGGCTGCCATAACCCGCAGAGGAGTCGCCGGACTGACCGGTTTTTATTTGGTCAGTCCGAGCACACCTCTTGCGTGCAAATCCACATACAATGCCACTCCTAGTGATATAACGTAACGTAATCAAAAGAAAGGGCTTTTTACTGTGTACTTTGGCTGAACGCACAGGTTTTTGCCCTCTTGGATAGGCACCAGGTTTTTTCTAGTTAGGACTTTTCCTGGTAAAGTTCATCCCACAACAACACACACCAAACAACAGCACACAAATCAGCAGCAAGTCTCAGCAGCAAGTTCTATGTAAGTAACCAAATTTATTGGTCTCGCCTATCAGGCACCTTTCGGCCTTCCCTTTGCTTTGTAACCCACCGGACGCCACATGAGCCGGTTTAACGTAGTCTTTTGCCTTTGTCTTAGTTCTTGGGCCGGAATTAAATAGCCGGCATTAACGTAACGTAAACGGAAGACCTGGCCAATTGCCAGCTAGTAACTTTCCCCCTCCCCCGGCTATAGCCACTTGGCTTGCCGGGAGGACAAAAAAAAATGATAAACTTTCAGCGGACATATGTGTGCCATGCTACCTACCAGCTACCTGCTACACAAACATTAGCCACTGTATTGTATGTATGTACATACCTACTTTATACTCTTGCAAACGAATATGACCTGTATGTACTGAACCTGTATGACCTGTATGTACTGAACTGTATTAATTAACTGACGCATTTATAGGCGTAGTGCATGCATGGTGCACAATGTTCAATTACTGTCCAACAGTGCCGATTGGCTCTGGCTTTGTCAGTGTCGTCTGTGTCAGGGTTTGACACCACAGTGTCAGCCGCCTCCCGACCCGGCAGCAGCTCCGTCCGACTGCAGTCAGCTGACACAGCTCTGTCCGACAGGGCCGGAGGTGAAGAAGTCGAGGTGGCCGGGACGGTACGGGAGTGGTCTGTCGGTATTTCTCCAGGGGGTGACTGCCGACACCATCAGCCGCCTGGCCACGGAGCTGGGGTCACGGATTACCCTACTAGTCACGGATGGTGAGCAGCGGTTGAAGTTACTCATATATGAATGGCTAGGAAGGGATAAACAACAGTAGCTGTTCCGGCGCTCAGCATTCGCTGGCTGTGACGTCACGGCTAGTGGTGTCAATTTCAGAAAACGTATGTCCAAAGTCCGTCCAATGTCCAATGCTTACGTCGATTGTCCGTCCAAAAAGGTCCAAACTAACCATTTGTCCAAAGATGTCCGACACCTACGCAATAGTTTACACTCAGCACTGTTATTTAATTTGCTTTTCATGTACCGTTACAAGCTCAAAAGTGTCAATCATATCGAAAGCTGAGCTTTCTAATAGCCAATCAATGTTAAACAAGACTACCTTTAAAAATGTTGAGGTGTAGCAAGCGATTGTCCAAAGTTGTCCAAAGCCTGCTGCCATTGTCCAACCGAATTCCGAATTGGACATTGGACAAAATCGGAATTCCGAAGATTCAAGTTCCGATTGACACCACTAGTCACGGCCACGCCGGCGGGCCGCGGCCCGGCTGACCTCCAGTGACCTTGAGACGCGCCGCCGGCCGCGTCAGCTGATTGTCGGCGGCGACCCCAAACGCTGCCGGACTGGTCAGGTGCAGGTGGCGCTGCCGGGCGCTCCTGAACGGGGCAGTGGGGCTATATGAAGACATGAAGAACAGGAAAACAGGAAAATAACAGGAAGACAGGAAAACAAAAGAACGGCAATACCTTTACTTGCTTGTGATTTTTGCTCTAAGGTACTGTCTATTTTTTCTAGCAAATGTTCATAAATAATGTGGGGGAACAGTTTATCCCTGACACTCGGAAGCATAATTCAAACCAAGAATAACTGGATCCAACACATTTACTGTAGGTAATGCTGCCTCATCCTAAGGTAAGACGGAAGCCATAAGCCATGGTAAGCCGTAGGATGACAAGTCGTGTGGTGAATGGTGAATGGTCAATGATTTGGGCTATAAGTGATGTCAATTACGGAAAATCAAGATAAGATACCGATACCAAACCAAATACCAACAATATCCATGGAAAAATACCGAAACCAAACCGACTTGGGAATATGAGGAAAATACCAACTTAACCCGCGCCGTGCTGGTGGCCTGAACTTTCCGCCGAGTGCTGGGGGGGGGGCGTTTTCACGCCCCCCCCGTCTAACTCGGCTCCTGGGCCACGTAGCGACACGCGGTAAGCGGCAATCGAAAGAGCGTCAAAAATAAGGACGAAAACACTTCGGTCATTTTTTGGGTCAGGTCAAAGGTCAGGTCACCAGAGGTCACCAAAGGTAAAATGTTGACTATTTCAACATTTTGGAAACTGCCAACGGCTATCTCGGGAACCGATAGAGCTACAGCGCCGCGGAAAAGCGCATTCGATAGCCCTTTTACAGACCTTTCTGAGTAATGTCCTCAGATTTGACCTCAGGTCAACGGTTTAGCCTCCAGAGGGCAAAAACTCCAAAAATATCCGTTTTTACGAAAAACGTTTTTTCGTCAATAACTTTTGACTCATAAGCGCCATGACATTACTTTTGCCAGCATCGTGTTTCTGTCGTCGAGACGCGTCGAATGAACTATTCGTTGACCTTGAAAGGTCATTTTGAAAATTTGACCTCAGGTCAAGGTCATGACCTGACCGAAAAGGGTCATGTTGCATATCAGTCGATCCGTATCGTCGAGCTGAACACATCTGACGTGTTTTCACCGCTCTAGCACGTCTCTATCAAAAGTTATAGCCAAAAAACTGCTGGCGACCGTTCATGACCTGAGATGACCTCAGGGGCACACAGAGGGGTCACAGGTGCATTTTTCCTATTCAGTGTGTCATGTTTACCTATGAACCGATGTTTGAGAGCGTTTTGAACGATATTCGTCCAAAAGAGGCGCATTTCAATTTTCTCCCATTGACTTATAATGGAGAGGTCGCAAAATTGACCTGACCTTAGGTCACAGATATCAAAAATCCGAGATATACATTTTATACATACTGTTACTCATATCAATCGCTGAAAGTTTCAAAGTGATCGTTCAGTCGGTGTAGCTATAGCGAGCCTTTGAACTTTTTCTGAGGTAAGGTCACTTGACGTGACCTGGTGACCTGACCTTGAACGGCCTAGGTCTGAAATTTTCACAACATGTGCGGAAATGATGTAGGAACACGTGTACCAAAAACGGCGGAGCTGCGCGCCGCCGTTTTTGAGATATTTGCGAAAAACCTGAGGGGGGGGGGCGTAAAAACGCCCCCCCCCCCCAGCACGGCGCGGGTTAATACCAAATTCTCAGCCTCATTTACATTAGGGAGGATTCATAATACCAACAAAATGCCAAATTCACTCGCCTTGAAATACCAAATACCAAGTTGGTATCGGTTTGGTATCGGTATACCTGCCAAAAGGTTGGTATCCGTATGACATCTCTAATTTGGGCCTGTATTGGACGTTATATTTACGCTACAAAATTTATAACGATACAAAGTTGAAATAGGTACCTACGTACAGTCTGTCTTAAAAGTACCGCGCAAAGTGACGGTGGATCCATCATGCCTGACCGAGGAAGGGCCTACTAAATTTGAGTCACCGAAGCAATTCACATCCTCGTCCATTCCCTAGGTCAATTGGTTCGGTAACTTTCAAATTCTAGCAGGCCCTACCTCAGTCAGGCTCGATGAATCCACCGTCACTTTGCGCGGTACTTTTAAGACAGACTGTACACCTAAGAGCTGAACAAAATACCTTTGTGAAAAGGTTTCAAAAGCTCAGAGGCGGATCAAGCTCAGAGTTTTTTTTTGGGGGGGGGGGGCAAACCATAACAATTTATAGATTCTTTCCATGCCTCGTCCATAGGCGTAATGTTAAAATTATGCCGTTTGGGAGGGGCAAATGCCCATTTTGCCCCCCCCCTCTGGATCCGCCACTGCAAAAGCTGTCAGATTGATCAATTGACATTATGACTATGAGAATATGCCTAGTTCGGAATATAATGTACCTACTAATTTAATTGTGTTTTTTGTTTTACCTATATGTCAAAGACCCATTATCATTTTATTCGTTGACTATTCTGTTAACCCACGCCCTGTTGGGGTCTTTTTATACCGCGACCTGGTGGGGGGGGGCTATTTTTTGCCCCCCTCGTATCTCCGAAACTGCTGGATGGATCCGCAAAATTCAAACGGTGCTCGAAAGGCCTGTCAAATTTGTCGAAGGAAACCAAATTTCATTGACCTCGGGGTCACCGATGACGTCACAGGTCAGGTCAAAGATGAAATGTTTCACCGTTCACGGGTCTTCTAGGGAATGCGCTATAACACCGAAGAAAACGCATTTTGTCGAGAATCAGCGATAGGGCGTCAGTTGACTAGTACATGTGTTGCTATGAGAGGTTACTGAAAATACCAGGTCAGGTCACAGGTCAGGTCACAAAGGGTCACAGGTCAGGTCAAATGAACCTAACTAGGTACTAAGGTTGTGCGATGCATGTTTTATGGCCAATTTTTCATTTCCAACTCAATGGTGTTGGTTATAAGACTATCAGGTACGGCTTAGGTCACTTTCTGGTAAAGGTCAGGTCAAGGTCAGGTCAAAAAAGGTCAAATTTTAGAGTTGATAGTTTTGCATAAAATGGGTATTGATTCGATGCAGCTCGTCACGGGGAGTCTAATGGTGGTCATTGTTTTGCGCTACGGGGTCTAGAATTGCTAGAAATTGAGTTTGAAAATTTGGCGTCATTAATTTTGAAGTTTTTTTTCGCTATAACTTCGCCAAAAAAGAGGTATCAATCTCAAATTGTTTATGTGGATAGAAGGCGGTAAGGACTATCACATATGTTCTGGTTTTTGCGAAATTCGGAAAACTTTTGTGATTTTTCGGCTATTATATTAAAAAAAAATCTTCTTTTTTATTTTTGGGGGTCAAAATCCAAAAATTTCAAAAATCCAAGATAACAGTTTTGTAGCACTGTTAATTCTACAGCTTTTATGTCCTTATCGTTTTTCTGTATTTGCAAATAGGCCTGACAGCTATTCCCGTGAAACTCTTTTTTGGGTCGAAAACGGCAGAACATGACGTCACTCTGACGTCATTTCCGGCCAACCTATCATAGTCTTTGGAAAAAAAAATTGAAAGTTTGGTGACGATCGGCGCAGCGGGTCTGGAGATATATCGAAAAGTCTGGGGGGGGGGGGCAAAAAATAGCCCGCCCCCCAACCAGGGCGCGGGTTACGGAAAGTCACCTTAATTTATGAAATTCACATCGTTTTGATAAAGTACATATTCATTGAGACACAGAATTATCACAGCATTGTAGCCACAAACAGTTTTCACTTTGTGTTTGCTGCACCTGTAGGTGAGTGTACACTTATATTTGAGCTAGACCAATGCCTGACATTGGTTCGATCACCTTTCCAGCACAAATGACTGCTATCCCAAGTCAACTTCGTGATGCCATCATCAGGGTGGGCCCAAACACTGTCATCCTTCCGGCCGGAGTCGGTGACAGCGAGCTGACGGAGCTGCGGAGCTCACGGGAGACTGTGGAGCGGCTGTCAGTCTCCGCCGCCGACCTCCCGCGACTGAGGGGGCAGCTGCCGGAGGGCCTCGAGCGCCTCAATGTCAGAGGTGAGATAACGCAGATCACACATGGAATGACCCTTATGCAAATTGACAACGGGACGGCAAATTGACGAACTGATCAACCTGAACTAGCAAGTTCCAGCGCTGATCGTGTACGTTATTGTATGGTGTGTGTGTGTGGGGGGGGGGGGTCACTTGCATAGGGTGCACATGCTGGTAGCGCATGCATGGTATATTAGTGTAACGTCGCGGGTTGATTTAAAAGTTGAGGTACTAGGAATAGTTGCATTGTCACAAGCGACAAAGTTCAAAACAAAAGTAATGAGTCTGACACCACGACTGCCATTGACTGACTAAATAGAGAGCTCGCTGACGACGAGTCTGAGCAGACTGACGGGACTGACTGGCCGCGGCCCTGGCGCGGCGGTTATACAGAGTATAGGTGGCGTCACGATCGAAGGCGGCCAGCACGGGAATGCAGGCATTGTTACAATTAGTGAGCACGTATTTCAAAGGGGAATGATTATTATTTATTAGACATAGTGCGACCAATGAGAGTAGCATAAGTAGTTTCATAGACTACTGTATTACGCACATACTTATCGCATATACTTATTATGTCCATATTCACATTCTACATATGACTGCTGTTCCTAAAAATTGATGTGCGGCCGCTCGGCTATGTCAGTGTAGGCTGTGTCAGTGTCGACACTCTGGTGTCAGTGGTGCAGCGGGGAGCTGGCGGCAGCTCTGTCCGACTGCAGTCAGCTGACACAGCTCTGTCCGACAGGGCCGGAGGTGACGAAGCCGAGGTGGCCGGGACGGTACGAGGATGATGGTCTGTCAGTGTCGCTCCAGGGGGTGGCTGCCGACACCATCAGTCACCTGGCTGCCCTGGGACGGACGGTCACACGACTGGAGATATACGGTGAGCAGCGGCAGCACGGACAGGCCGCTGATATACGAGCTCAGCGAATGGCGGACACCGAGTAACGGTGTGCCGTTGTCGCACCTCATGGAGACAGGTGCGATACATAGCCAATGTGTTTTGTGAAATAATGTATTTGAAATAATGTATTGATGAAGCTAATTGAGCTCCAACATGGTGTGAATCAGTAACGGAAGGGAATCAGTGACATATTCGTTTAGACTTAGTTGAACGTACCTACACATAATGATTGTAATGCAATGTTCAATGCAGTTCAATGCATTGGTTGAACTGATTGCATATCATATATTATCATTGTTATATCATCGTCTGTGTCCATAAAACCATGCGAATTCATAGCTGTTTCGTTTTTTCGTATATTTACATATATTCCTGCCGACTGATCCTGTCTGTATGTGTGTCTGTGTGTTTTCCAGACTGTTCTGATCTCACGACCGGCAACCTGGAGCCCCTCACCAGGTGCCCTAAGCTGCAGTATCTCAACCTGTCCGGCGGCGTCCCTGACGCCGTGAGCCTGGAGCCCCTCACCAGGTGCCGTGAGCTGCGATATCTCACCCTGTCCGGCGGCGTCCCTGACACCGTGAGCCTGGAGCCCCTCACCAGGTGCCCTGAGCTGCGGTATCTCACCCTGTCCGGCGGCGTCCCCGACACCGTGAGCCTGAAGCCCCTCACCAGGTGCCGTGAGCTGCGATATCTCACCCTGTCCGGCGGCGTCCCTGACACCGTGAGCCTGGAGCCCCTCACCAGGTGCCCTAAGCTGTCCGATCTCACCCTGTCCGGCGGCGTCCCTGACACCGTGAGCCTGGAGCCCCTCACCAGGTGCCCTGAGCTGTACAGTCTCACCCTGTCCGGCGGCGTCCCTGACACCGTGAGCCTGGAGCCCCTCACCAGGTGCCCTAAGCTGTCCGATCTCACCCTGTCCGGCGGCGTCCCTGACACCGTGAGCCTGGAGCCCCTCACCAGGTGCCCTGGGCTGTACAGACTCACCCTGTCCGGCGGCGTCCCTGACGCCGTGCTGGACAGTCTCAGCGGCTGTCCCGGGGTGCAGATCCTTATACTGGGGGACCGTCAGCGGCCGGCAGAGACGGCCTTCACAGCAGCAGCGTACACCAGGTCAGTCAGCAGACACTGGCGAGGGGTGTCCTGTCAGACACTGACACTGACACTTGATACACTGACACACTAACACACTGACACTAACACAGTGACACACTGACACAGTGACACTGACACACTGACACACTGACACTGACACACTGACACTGACACACTGACACTGACACACTGACACTGACACACTGACACTGACACTGACACACTGACACACTAACACTGACACACTGACACACTGACATCAACACACTGACACTGCACACTGACACTGACACACTCACACTGACACTGACCCACTGACACTGACACACTGACACTGACACACTGACACTGATACACTGACACTGACACACTGGTACTGACACACTGACACCGACACATTGACACTGACACACTGATACTGACACATTGACACTGACACATTGACACTGACACCAACACACCGACACTGAAATACTGACACACTGACACTGACTCGTACGTCCGGCCGGCTGGTGCCGCTGTGTTTGTGTGTGACGTCTCTGCTGCTCTGCTCTGTTACAGACTGGTGAAGTCGTGTCGGAAGCTGTGGTGTCTGTACCTTCACTGCACGGCAGACACCGGCCGGGCCGTGCTGACCGCCCTGAAGGAGGCGGACCTGCGTTACAGTAATGGCTGGCCCCGTACCATCTGTCTCCGTGTCCCCGGTAGGTGAGAGGGCGCCGCGCGCCGCGCCTTTGACCAGTCAGTCCCTCACAACAGACGCTGCACGGCGCCACCGGCCTCTCAAACACACACACACTCGACCACCGCCGCAGGCCACGTCACGGACGGTGACGTGACGAGTCACGGCCACCACGGCCGACGGTGACGTCACGTCAGCCGTCTGTCCTGTGTGTGACGTCACTGTCCGGCGGTGTGTGGACATGGCTGTACCGCTGTCTGTGTGTCTGTCTGTGTGTGAGGTGTCCACCTCAGACGTGTCTCTGCTCTGTCCACAGTGGAGCTGTACCGTCAGCTGGAGAGACAGGGAGGCGGTCGGGTCGAAGTGTGCAAGTGGGGGAAATGATGCGCTGCACTACCGAGCGTGCAGTGATGAGCTGACTGCAGAGAGGCCGAGCCAGTCGGCCGGGGCCGCCAGCTGACTGCTGCCGTGTGTGCTGCACCAGCCGGCACTGAGAGCGGCGCCGGTCAGCCGGCACACGGCCCCGGTGTCCGCTCTAGTGTAGTGATCTAGTTGTAGTAGTAGTAGTGTAGATGTAGTAGTAGCACACAGTTGTGATGTAGTGGGTAATTACCGGGCGGGTACTGTGAGTAATTGACTGGACGGATATGATCTAGTGGGTAATCAATTACTGTGCGGGTATTGTGGGTAATTGGACGGGAGATGTGACCTAGTGGGTAATTACCGGGTGGGTATTGTGGGTAGTTGGCTGGAAGGATGTGACCTGGTGGGTAATTACCAGGCGGATGTTGTGGGTAATTGGACGGGAGATGTGATGCAGTGGGTAATTACCGGGTGGGTATTGTGGGTAATTGGGCAGTGAAAAGTGATGTGCTGGAGAGACTACCAATCGTGGCATTACGCTATTCTGTATGTAGAGCACACGTCTGTGACCGTCCGACTCGGTTCACCGCGCCTGGTCCCGGCGGCACGGCCGGCCTCGGTCACGTGACCGTCCCCCGGTGGAGTCGGACGGCTCGGTCACGTGACCGCTCCCCCCGGGTCTGGCTGCACCTCGGCTCGGCGGTGCTGAGCGCCGTGCTGAGCGTGTTGTGACACGTCCCACACGGACAGCTCTACTCGACTACTGGCTAGCTGCCGTCCGAGCTGGCAGTATCCACGCGGTGCCAGTTCAGACGGCGGCCGGCCGCGCCGCGCCCGCCCGCTCCGGTCCCGGCCGGCGGCCGTCACCCGGCCCGGGGCGGGGACCATTGGTCAGTCAGCTGACCATTGGTCAGCCAGCTGACCATTGGTCAGTCAGCTGACCATTGGTCAGTCAGCTGATTGGTCCGTCAGCTGATTGGTCCGTCAGCTGATTGGTCCGTCAGCTGACTGGTCCGTCAGCTGACCATTGGTCAGTCAGCTGACCATTGGTCCGTCAGCTGATTGGTCAGTCAGCTGACCATTGGTCCGTCAGCTGATTGGTCTGTCAGCTGATTGGTCAGTCAGCTGACCATTGGTCCGTCAGATTGGCCAGTCAGATGTCTACTATATACACGAGAGGAGACGCTTAAGCTGTACTATCTGTAGCCAAAGGTAATTAGTTACCGGGCGAGTATTGTGGGTAATTGGATGAAGTGATGCGATGTAGTGGGTAATTACCGGTCGGGTGTTGTGGATAATGTAACCCTGGGTATGATATAGCCGGCTATTCGACGGTCGGATATAGTCAGCTGGATGCTACTGAATTATGTAGAGCTCTGACGGCACCGGTCATAACGAGTGTCCTCGCGTCTGTCCGACTCGGTTCACGGAAGCACGCCGTCACGGCCCGGGTGTGCGCCGCCATGTTTTGTGTCCTCTGCTTCGTACAGGGGGGTAATTGGGCTACCGACCGATTGGGAGTCGGAGTCGGAGTCCGTGTCGATCAAGCTGCCTTGACTCCGACTCCGGAGCGCCTTTTTAGATTTTAGTTATCACTTGGCCATGCTACTGATAATCGGCTGCGCTTTGACTAATACATTTTACACATGTCCAGTCTTTGTCCTGGAAAACAGCTACCTTCGGAGCTTACCTCATCATCTGTGCTAATGTCCTGATGACCTGAGTACAGTTTGGCTCCACCAGAGGGGGGGGGGGTGTTTCTGCGCCGCTGTGCCGCCGCTGCTGTGACCTGCCGAGCTGCGGTCCCGGCTCCAGAGCACACCGTCGGCCGTCGAGGCCTGGTCCTTCTGTTCCGTGCACATCATCAACAGGTGTCGTATATATCTATAATACGGGCCCAGCGTGGCAGTTCACCGTTAACCCTCGCCCCGTTGGGGGGGCCATTTTGGCCCCCCCTGTGGTTTTTCCTGAATAGCAAGAAAACGGCGGCGCGCAGCGCCGCCAAATTTTCAGTACCTTCCCGGGCATCAATTTGACACCTTCACACCAAATTTCAAGTCTTAGGTCACCTTAGGTCAGGAGTTATTGAGGTCAAACTGAGGTCATGTTCGAGCAAAAATGAGCAAAAAACATGCAATCTTGAAACGCTCACCAAATCTACAGTTATCAAGCAATTTCAAAGTTCTTTATATGGTCTAGTAGACAAAAGGCGGCGCTACAAAACTACTATCTCGGATTTTCAAAATTTTTGGTTTTTGACCACAAAAAAATCAAAAAATTGATTTTTTTAGAAAAACTTTGAAAAAATCCAAAAAATTTCCGAATTTCGAAAAAAACCGGAATATATGTGATAGTCGCAGCGCTCTTCTATATACATACCAAATTTCAGATCGATATCTCGTTTTTTGGCCAAGTTATAGCGAAAAAACTGTTCAAAAATGATGACGTCAAATTTTTGAACTCAATTTTTAGCAATTCTAGACCTCGTACGGCAAAACAAAGACCACCATTGAACTCCCCGTGACGAGCTGCATCGATTCGATACCCATTTTATGCAAAAATATTAACTTTGAAATTTGACCTAATTTGACCTGACCTTGACCTGACCTTGACCTGACCTTGACCTGACCTTGACCAAAACGTGATCTAAGCTGGCCCCAAAGGCTGCCTGACCCATATAATCGCATTTGTCATGTAAAATGGACCATAAAACATGTATCACACGACACTTTCATATTGTGACCCCCCCGTGACCTGACCTCTGTGACCTGACCTGGTATCAGTGACCTCAAATAGCAAAATATGTGTTTGAAGAACATTTCCCCATCGATGATTTTCAATGAAATGCATTTTACTCGATTTTACAACGCATTTCTTGAAGTGCCTGTAAACGGTGAAAATTGGACCTTTGACCTGACCTGTGACGTCATCGGTTTGACCTAGGTCAATAAAATTGGGTCACAAGGTAGTTCCCCGTTGGGGCTATCCAACGCCGTTTACCGCTTGTCGCTATGTTGCGTGGTTCTCGAGATCTTAGGGGGGGGGGCCAAAATGCCCCCCCCCAACCGGGCGCGTTGCTCGGCAGAGCCCAACGGGGCGCGGGTTAACCCTCGCACGACCAGGCCATTTCTCATAACACGAACGACCAGGAGGGGTTGTTACGACCCCCCCCCCCTTGGCGTTTCGAAACGGAAGGTCGTAGAGCTTAGCAGAAAAAAAAACAACGGATTGCTCTCAACGAGATCTCGCGATTGGTGGTATATTTTTTGGTCCTAGGTCAACATTTGACCTACTTATGACCGGTCAAAGGTCAAATTTTCCGAAAAAATCAAACTTTTTCAACTTTCCGCGGCGATTGCGGCAAAACGGTGGGAGATATCGACTTGAAACCTTCACTATCGTGTTCCTTCAATTCTCTATCGTTTGGTATGTATTTCGTTTCCCTAGCTCTAAAAATGGCGCGTTGGGAGCGCCGGAAGTCGGCAAGGTCACAGTCGGCGGCAGAAATTCGAAAAATCAAAATTTAAATTTTTGAAATCTGATTGTATTTTTGGATTTGGGAGGTCCATTTGCTCCCTATAGAAGCTAATATTGCTGCATATTCCCATTGAGGTGACAAGAATTAGCAAAATAGTGGTTCGGGCGCTTTTCAAAAATAGTACCGGACGCTGTTCCTCTTGTGACGTCATAGCTCCGTGACCTGACCTGACCCGGTCAATTTTCTTGCACCACACGATAGCCAATGCTTGCCCCAACATGCATGGGAAGTTTCATCATGATCCATCAAACAATGTGGGTATCACCGGCAGAAAACCTAGGGATTCGGCGCACACGTTTGGTAACTGTCGGCCGGAGGCTGTACCTCTTATGACGTCATAACTCCGTGACCTGACATGACCCGATCAATTTTTTTCGGCAAAAGATGCGCAAAGGCTGCCCCAGAGGGTATTGAAAATTTCAGCCCGCTACGACAAGCCGTTTAGCGTGCACTTCGAAAAAACCTCAGGGGGGTTGATACAACCCCCCCCCTAGGCGTTCTAGGGTTAACTCTGCTCATGTACCCCCGAGCAGTGTCAGTTGTCGATCAGGCGTGCGTTCGACATCCGGAAAATGAGGGATAATTATCCGGGATCACCGGTAATAATTTGGTATTGCAAGGACTATCGATGCAATAAGTCATATTTTTATATTGCTTTTGCTTCAGTAATGGCTCTTTTACTCATTGGCATGTGCGTTGTGCACGGTGTCAGCCTAAAACACCGAATGATCCCGTTGATCCCGGAAAATTATCCCTGATTTTCCGGATGCCGAATTCGCACTAATACTCAATACGTTTGTTCGGAAATTTGCTGCTTGTGACAATGCAACTTTCGGTAGTACCTCAACTTTTAAATCACCTCGTGACGATACACTAATATTCCACGCATATGCCACAAGCATGGACACTATCGAAGGGCGTGCATTGAACCCCTTCCCCCTCTCACCACAATACGAGACGAGTTATATACTAGTACACGATTAACCCTCGCCCTGGCAGGGGGGGTCGATGCGACCCCCCCTAAGGTTTTTCGAAGAAAGCGTAAAAACGGCGGCGCGCAGCGCCGCCAAATTTGGCACAGCCTATGGGGCAACCTTTTTACATATGACCTGAAAATTTCAGGTCCGGGTGACCTTGGGTCAGGTCACCAGGTCAGAAAAACCGGTACAAGGTCATGGTCAAATTTCAATTTTCTTTTTGCACCTGTCCAACTCACAGTTTTCGACTGATTTCCTTCAAACTTTCAGGATGTCCTAAGTTCACCGAGTTGTATAACATATAGTCCGGTTTTTTTTAGGTCACTGACCTGAGGTCAGTTAGAGGTCATTACGTCGTAATGTTAAGCCTATGGGAAAATACTAAATTCGGGAAATACTGGAGATATCCGCTTCGTTTGATCTTTTTTGTGCTTTGAAACCACGGTACTTAACAGCAGGTCACTTGGTGCTTCTTTGTTTGGTGTACTTATCCATGGGTCAGGTCAAATGAGGTCAACTGAGGTCAAATGACGTTTTTGCCAATAACTTGGCATATAATGACGCTAGAGCTTAACCCGCGCCCTGCTGGGGGGTGTTTGAACACCCCCCCCCCCCTTGTGGTTTTTCGCGAATATCTCAAAAACGGCGGCGCGGAGCGCCGCCGTTTTTGGTACACCTTATCACACATCAATTCTACACATGTTGTGAAAATTTCAGACCAAGGTCATTCAAGGTCAGGTCACCAGGTCACTTGAAGTGACCTCACCTCATAAAAAGTTTCAATGTCTCTCATAGCTACACCGAGTGACCGATCGCTTTGAAACTTTCAGCGATTGCTAAGAGCAATAGCATGTACAAAATGTATATCTCAGAATTTTGATATCGATGACCTAAGGTCAGGTCAATTTTGCGACCTCCCCATTATAAGTCAATGGGAGAAAATTGAAATGCGCCTCTTTTGGACGAAAGACATTATAAACACTCCCAAACACTGAATTACAAGTGGTTTAGACACACTGAACATGAAAATGGTGTCCGTGACCCCTGTTTATGCCCTGAGGTCATCTTAGGTCACGAATGGTATCTAACAGTTTTTCGCAAATAAATTTTGATAGAGGCATGCTAGAGCGATGAAAACGCCTTAGATGTGTTCAGCTCGACGGTACGGATCGACTGATATGCAACATGACCCTTTCCGGTCAGGTCATGACCTTGACCTGAGGTCAAATTTTCAAGTTGACCTTTCAAGGTCAAGTTATAGTTCATTCGATGCGTCTTGACGAGAGGAACACGATGCCGGTAAAAGTAAGCTCGTACAAGGCTTGGGTCAAAAGTTATTGCAGAAAAACTGTTTCCGAAAAAATCGGCTATTTTTGCAGTTTTTGCCCCCTGCAGGCAAAACCGTTGACGTTAGGTCAAATCTGAGAAAATTGCTCAGAAAGGGCGTTAATAGGGCTATCGAATGCGCTTTTCCGCGGCGCCGTAGCTCTATTGGTTCCCGAGTTATGCGTTGGCTTCTTGGAAATTGTCGACATTCGACCTGGAAATCGGCGAAATTTTGCCTTCAATGACCTCTGGTGACCTGACCTTTGACCTGACCAAAAAATTGACCGAAGTGATTTCGTCATTATTTTTGACGCTCTTTCGAACGCCGCCTTCCGCGTATCGCTACGTGGCCCAGGAGCCGAGTTAGAAGGGGGGGTGTTCAAACACCCCCCCCCCCCAGCAGGGCGTGGAAATCCAGGACCCCCAGCCGGGCGCGGGTTAATACGCATTACAAACGGACTACAATGGTGAGCGAATAGGAAAATCCGTTCCTGATACGCATTTACTTGATCATGTAACCCCGGTAATTGACTGACTACATAGATAGCTCGCTGACGACGAGTCTGAGCAGACTGACGAGACTGACTGGCCGCGGCCCTGGCGCGGCGGTTATACAGAGTATAGGTGGTGCCACGATCGAAGGCGGCCAGCACGGGAATGCAGGCATTGTTACAATTAGAGAGCAAGTATTTCAATGGGGAATGATTATAGACATAGTGCAACCAATGAGAGTAGTATAAGTTGTTTCATAGACTATTGTACTACGCATATACTTATCGCATATAGGTACTTATTATGTTCATAATAT